AGGTCATTCTTCAACTCATTACTAAAGGTTTTTTTGGCACTATTTTTACAATAGATTTTACTCTAAGATTATTTGTACCAAAAATATCATTGAATTGATGAAATTGAAGCGTTAAGCTATACTACTCTGTTATAGTCAGTCATACACTACTTTTTTTGTCCATTTAATAATATGAAATCCAATTTTTTGGATAACATTAAAGTGTTATTTGTTCAGTAAATTTTATAAAATGAATTGAATAAAAAAATCAATCTATATATATATATACTGTATATATATATATATATATATATATATATATATATATATATGGATTATATATTTATAAATTATTTTTAGCAATAATTTATAAAATACTAAGTATTTATGAAAAAATTAAGAAATTTAAATTAATCTTAAAACACATTTTTACTATATTTAAAATTATAAAATCTAAAAAATAATAATTTTTTTTAATAAATCGTTAAATTTCTTTATTATTTTGTATTATATAATTTAGTTTATATAATTAAACATATTTTTAAATAAATTATATTTTAGCTTTTTATTTGATAAATAATAATCTCTCATTTTGATAAATTATTCATCTCATAGATATATTATTTATTAATATATATTATATAATGCATATATAACTTTATATTAATAGAAAAAATAAAATATATTACAATATTATAGCAGATAATAAATAATAACTTCAAATAATTGAAACAAAATATTGTGTCTATCAATAGACAACACAATTGTTATTAACTTTATTTCTAAAGAAAATAATAGATTTGTTGTCATCACTGAAGTTAATCAAAATTAATGAAAGTTATGATTGCGTTGACGTTTGTGGCAATTCATTGCATAAACACTTGAAATGAGAGGCGAATGGAAAGCATTGAGTGCTAACATGACATCAAGTTTTTTATATTAGGAAATAATAATAAAAACAATTTCTTAACTAATATTCACTAACAGTCTATATACAGATTATATTTTTATTATAATAATTTATACTAAAAACAAAACAACGTATTTGTTTTCCTATTTATAAAATAGTTTATTGATTTTTTTGTCATAACAATCAATACATTAATTTCCTTTAATATTATGAATTCATTGTTTTTATTGATAACTATATTATTTGTTTACTATATTTCTATATTTTTACAAAATATAATAATGCTTAAGGTATTAAATATAATTTAAATAATTTTTGTTTTACTTTAATAAAAAATGATAAATAACTTTACATATTATGATAAACATTTAGATGATTGTTAAATATAATAAAAGAAATGGCATTTCATGTTTTTACATATTACTCATTATATGAGACCATCCGTTACCTACTAATAGAAAATAGTGAACACATATATCCATTTGCTTCATCCCTGTGCTGGGGCTCTGTGTTTGACATAAAACACACGAAATAATAGGCAAAACAAGAAAATGCTATTAACAGATAAAATGTTTGGTCTATGGAGTAAATATAGAGAATATTTTTTGCTTTATGTTTATGTATGCACTTAATCAACAAAAAGTGTTATTTTTATTTAATGATTACTTGTTTTGCAAATTGTTTGCTAAAGAATATTGTATATCATTTATAAATTTATTTTGATTATAAAACAGTAAATACTACTAAATTATTTTACTTTTATTTAAATTTAGATATAAGAAATATAATTATAAATTACTATAGTTTATAAATAATATATATTATAATAAATATACAAATTTTGTGATGTTTGATTAAAATCAATATTTTTAATGTAAATGAAATAAACCACAATTTATAATACAATTATGTTTTACTCTAAATTACAACAAAATCTATTAGAAAATAGAGGCCACAAGTATTGGACCATAGATTTCTATTTTTATTAGATTAGTGCTAATAATGAATATAACACGAATATATACAATATATACGGTATTATTACAGTATATATTGTATATATATATGCAGTATTGCATAAATGATAGCACAGACAGATGGTATGGTAGATACAGTATAAACTGTATTTAGATGTATAATATTATAAGCCATTGGGTTTGAGCACTGCATACAACTGTTATGATGTTATGCCCACACTTTGTCCACTGAGATCCAAATTTTCCATTTGCTTAATGCATGTCATAAATGCTGTATATATTTGCAATGAATATATAGATAATATGGTTATTCACTATTCAGATCCACGATTGCAATAATGACTGCCATAATAACAGACTTACCTTTAGGTTTACCTCATTTCTCTCTCTCTCTCTCTCTCTCTCTCTCTCTCAAACACAATATTTATTCAAAGGTTATTTAAAGATTATTAAAAATATATGATAATAAAAATTGGTGCAATATTAATCATATGATAAAAATAAAACTCGATTTTTTTAGTCATGTTCAACAATATTAAATATTGATATACAGTATATATCACATTTTAAAACATTTTTATCTTTAATTATGAAATCTAAAATATAATTGATAATTTATTATTGCTAATTATTTTTAATAATATCAATTTACATATTAATATATATTAATAGATTATATATATTTTTAATTGATTTATATTTGAGTAATTTTTAAAATTAATTTTTTTATTAGCTAGGATATCAAAAACTATCTAATTTAATTTAATTAATATTTTTAAAAAATATATTTTGTGTTATAATTTTGTACATTTTTATTAAAAAACTTGGTGTTCAAGAAATAGACATTCAATTCACGTAACAATAGATTTGTTAATTTGTTTTTGTTGTGAAAATTGCCGCAAAAATGCATTAAACGACACAACACTAGAACTTCTTATAACACATTATTTAACATTTTTATTGTTATTTTTTTCGGTACTCATAGTAGTGGCAGTTGTTTTGGTGTTTGGCATTGTATGAGATGTTTGACGTCTATCATAACCATAAATATTTTGCTTTTAATGGAAATTGTTTGACATTAAGTTTAAAGTACAGGGTCTTTGCCATTGCCTTTACTTAATATTTGTTATTATTGTAATAAAGGAAAGGGTCTTTAAGATAACTATTTTAAAAACGTTTGAATTTGGGATAAAACATGGGTTATGAATGACATATAACTAATGACGAGAGGGTGAGTGAGTGAGTGAGTGAGTAAGAGAGAGAGAGAGAGAGAGAGAGAGAGAGAGAGAGAGAGAGAGAGAGAGAGAGAGAGAGAGAGAGAGAGAGAGAGAGAGAGAGAGATAAATTATATATATATATATACTTTATATATATTGTATATTTGCTTTCAAAGAAATACCGAAACATTTTTTTACTTTTAAATTACTTATGATTTCATACACTATTCATATAATTGCTTATAACCGGAGGTTTGCTATTCATATAACGATTCGTCAAAAAGAGACTAAAAGCAATGGTCAAAATAAATTTAAATATATATAAATATGTGTTTTTATGATATTAGTATAATTTATACTTTATTTATAAAAGATAATTAAATATTTTTATATAACTAATATATTAAATTAATATTTATAAATAATAAATGTTGTAATTAATTTACAGTTTAATAAATTAGTTATTTATCATTTAATAAATTTTGCTATTTTTAACTTATAAAATATTTTTTTTTAATAATAATTATTATTATGATACGATAAAAATATTTAAAAATTATAATTTAAGTTATCTATAATTATTAACATTTTGTCGATTATAAATATTTCTAACCTTCAAATTTAAAAAACTTTTAAAAGTCTATTTAATATCTTTTATATCTACAAGTTTTTCTGTCATACATTTTTGTTGTGTTAAACTAAATATGATTATAATATTGCAAACAATGAATTAAAAAAAACAATCTTTTAAAGTAAAAGCAATAAAATTGATTTTCAAGACTTTTAATGTATTTTTGATTAAAGGAATTGAATCGAGAATTTTTTGCTAATATTCTAACAAAAAATTTTACTCTTAATATTCTTATATAACATATATTTTTATAGCCTATTAAATAAATTGATATTCAGTTTGTAAAATCTACTGTTTTTAGCATTATTTTTGGCACATATTCTGACAATAAATCGTATATTTTCTTAGACTTGAAAAGGTTTTTAAACAGTTATTCATTTTAAATTTATTACTTGAAATAATACTACTATTAAATCTTTAATGTTAGTTTCAAAAATTTAATAAAGCATATTTAAACAGTATTTATACCATAATTCAACAATTTTTAATTAACTATATTACTTATAACAATTCAACATAAGTTTATTAATATATCATCTATAAATAATTGGTTTGTATGATATAAACACAAATTTATTTAGAAAATATCGCAAATCACTATATTATTTTGAAAATACGATTAAACAGTTTTCATATATCAATAAATTCTGGTTCAATCTGTTAACACAAATGATCATTAAATCTCTGATAGTTAGTACACGAGAGAGAGAGAGAGAGAGAGAGAGAGAGAGAGAGAGAGAGAGAGAGAGAGAGAGAGAGAGAGAGAGAGAGTCACAACACGAAATTGCTTTTACTTCTTGGACTATAATTTTATGTTTCAGTAGTAAAAACAGCTTATATTTAGTTCAATCTCTTTCTGTTTTTACTAATGTCTTACCATAGAGTCTGGTATTGTTGTGTTGAGACTTAACGTGTCGTTGAATAGGTGGTCATATTGTCTGACAATTGTTACAAATTAATGACTTGTGACCACAAATCACACAATACTGTACTTACTATATATTGTAGTGAAAGTTGACATTTAATAATTGGCTTAACATTGCATTTGTTAGGACATTGCCTATCGTCTATGACTTTAAATTTATAGTTATCAAAACAATAAAAAAAAATAGTAGACAATAAACTATTAAAGAAATTGCTCTAAAAAAGTTAATATATACTATACTTTTGATAGAAATTGACTTAAAAATAAAATTTTATTATTCAACAAACATTGATTTTTTTATTATATACTTTGTTTATAAATATAAGCTAATTATATATCATTGAATTATATTAATGTATAGGTTTTGTACAAAACAATGAAGAACCAGAACATATATCATCCAATTATGGCGAGAATGTGATCATCAACTGTGCCTTTGATTTTCCTGATGGCATACGAGTGCCGTATGTCATACAATGGCAGAAAAATGGCGTAAAGATACCGATATATATTTGGTACGACGGATACCCACCACATATTGGTGAGGGCTATGAGGGACGGGTGTCTCTGTCAGGACAGGCGGCACTCAATCTATCGAATCTCAATGAGAACGATCAGGGATGGTATGAATGCAAAGTATTCTTTTTGAATCGTCCCCCCGAACCCATCAAAAATGGTACCTGGGTGCACCTGGATGTACATGGTAGGCTATTTATATTTATGTCATTTTATTTTTACTTTATTTTAATCAACTATATTTAAATATTTATATATAAGTAATGACACTTTTTTAACAGTATTTTTTATTTTTCATAAATAGCGAACATGTTTTTTAAAAATTAATGTAATGTAATAATAAAAATTAAGTTGAGTTAATAGAAACAAAAATGTAAAGACTTAAGAAAGATAAGAATTTGACATTTTTTGAATTTTTTAATTTCCTTTTTTGAGACACTAATTATATAAAATTTGAAATTTTTGTATTAAATATTTTATTGTTCACTTGAATATAATTTAAATCACATAAATTACATAAATGTCATTTAGAAGGTAATTATGAATATTTTAATTATATTGCATTATTTTTTATTATAATGCATTATAGTTCATTATATCTAATGTTGTCATTATCGTAATATACATTAGATTTATTTTTTGTTGAATAGAATATTCTGTACTAATATATTGTATGTATGAAACATACTGTATATATATAGGAATATCTAAAATGTAGAGTTAGCCCTAATTTCCTTTTATTGTTTTGTTTGACAACTGTGTTGCGATTTCTTATCAAACGAGTATATCTTATTGAAAGCCGTTTGAGTGACGCCTCCGATAAACCCTTTTGTGACAAAATGGTTGGACAACAATAAGCAATGATATGAGATATAAGCATTAAATTGAAATGCAATGAAAAGCAATGCATTGAATCGTTTGTTGTAATCATTTTCATGATTCACATAACAATAATTGATTGCCTTTTTCTATGTTCTTTCAATTAATTCAATAATACTATACTAAACAATAGGATATACAAAACAAAAACTTCTCCAATTTTGTGCATTATTTTAGTAAAAGATTAAATTATAAGTTCTCATAACAAAGTTACAAAAATTGAATTATATTATTATATGTATTTATACATAAAAAAAACTACTCAAACATTTTTAGAAATGAAAATTAAGGTTTAAAAAATATTAATAAAAATATTAGGCATAACTTATTTATATTATATGTTGTACCGGTATATACAGTATTTTAAAAAAATGAAAGTAAGATAAATCAAATGTGTTTTTAATTAAAGTTTTAAATATTTTTGCTCAAACAATTCAATGAATAGCTTTTAGATACTAAATCCCAAAACACACTTTAAATTTAATATTATATTTAATTTAAAATTGAAAATAATTATATAAATTTGATTGAATTAATTTTATACTAGAACAAATAAGTAATACAATAAATAAATTTTAAATCCTGGTATTTATTTTTTATATATTTTGAGATATATATGATATTATAAAATATTATATATTAAGAATTTGCAAACCACTATATCAAACTAAAAAAACTAATTTTGTATTTTCTATATGGGAAGAAAAAATTTTTAAAATTGGTTGCAGAATAAATTTTTTATGACTTTTCAAACTTGTGGAAAAACACATTATATAAAATAGTCGAAAATAAAATGACGTTATTTATGGACAGTAGACACTTATTAGATAGAGATTTTAATACTAATGCTTATTCTAAAAACAAAATTTTTTTATGTCAAATATTTTTTTAGATAATCAAATTACAATAAAAAACACAGCTTAGTATTTCGATAATTTAATTTTTAATTAAATTTGATTATCTAAAAATATATTTGACATAAAAAAATTTTGTTTTTAGAATAAGCAATAGTATTAAAATCTCTATCTAATAAGTGTCTACTGTCCATAAATAACGTCATTTTATTTTGACTATTTTATATAATGTGTTTTTCCACAAGTTTGAAAAACTATAAAAAATTTATTTTGCAACCAATTTTAAAAAAATTTTCTTCCCATAAATTTCCAGTTTAGGCATTACAAACTTACTATTGAAATTTTATTATAGCATTTATAGTTTAGGTTGTGATATAGTGGTTTGCAAACATCCCAGAATAAATATGATCACGTGATCAAAATTAAAAATTTAATATTTTATAATATCACACGTAAATCACTTTTTAATACTCTTTTTACAAAATTAATATATCTCACACCATTTAAGAATTATAGCAAAAACCGCGTGTGCGAGATTAATGTAAGGCCCTTTTATTTAAAAAAATATATATATTAAGAAACAAACAAAAACTAATTTTGTATTTTCTATATCAAAATAAAACAAAAATATTTTTAACAATACCGTATAATATTAAAGTATAGTTTTTCATATAGTATGATATGAGTATAACTGGTATTTATTGTCGACAAATATATCAATTTTATTATTTGCACACCAATATTGTTGATAACACTTGATCTAAAATATAATCTAAAAACATAAAGCTTTCAAATTGTTGTCAAATTTAACAAAAAATTGATGTCAAGCTTTCACGTGATTGACTTATTTTTGGCACTTTTAGTTAATTTATCAAAAATTGTTGTTACAATTGATTTTATAGTAATGTTTGGCTCAAAACTTCAAATGTAATAAATCATAACAATTCGGTTAATTTCAATTCAATTTAAGAGTAAAAATGTTGTCCATAACAATTAGTTTTTCTTATTTATAAATAAAATATAATATAAATTTATAGACATTTTCATATATTCATATAAAATCACATACTTTTTTGACAATCATAAAAAATTATAATACTTAACTTATCATGCAATATATACTCGTTTCATGCAATCATTAATAGATAATTAATTTTAAACATTTAATATCTTAAATATATTTTATATATTTATATTATTATATTATGTTATAGTATATTATATTATAAATTTATATACGGTATAAATGATAATATATTTATTTATAATATATATATAGCACACAAATTTATTTTGTTAGTAATAATTATAAGTTGACACTTACCCTAATTTACAAATATTTGTATGATTTGACAGCACCGCCACATTTTCGACTAAAACCACCCGATGTTATATATGTAAAAGTGGGGGAAACCATAACAATGCCGTGTGAAGCTATGGGCACCCCTTCACCCGCTATTATTTGGTATAAGGTATGTCACAAATCATTATAATATTAAATTAAATTAAATAAATGAATTATGATTTGAATATACAATTACTATAATCAGTGACACATTTTTATTTTATTTATAATAGAATTATTATAATTAGAAATTTTATTTACTATACCATTTTATCCCATATAAAGTATTAAATTTTATTAATTTAATATTTAAATATTGTAAAACTAATTATTAATATCATTTAATATAAACTTTGTTAATGTAAATCACTAAAGTAATAATAATAACAGTCATTAAAGGGATAATAAAAAATAACATTTATTTATTAAAATAGAGAAACTTTGGTTTCAATACAATTATTTTTAACACTAATGTTGTGTTTGTGCTGTAGTTGTAGTAGTGATTGATTGTCTTCTAAACCATTGATGTCTTTCAGGATAATCAACCTCTTGAGGGTTCCGGTAGTGTCCATATATTGCCAAATGAGTTACGGATCTCAAACTTACAGCAGTCAGACATCGGTGATTACATGTGTTTGGCCCGCAATCGTGAGGGCTCGACAACGGCCAATACTAAAGTGATAATCGCGGGACCGGCAGTTATAACGGCTCCGCCCAGAAATCAGACCCGTCTGGAGGGCGACCAAATTGAGATGATATGCGAAGCTAAGGCACTGCCATCTAATGTAACGCACCGGTGGCTACACAACGGCATTGACATAAGTCAGTTGTCGTGGTTGGAGACCCGGACTATCATCCGACGCGATGGCACACTATTTATCAATCCGAGTACTGCTGAAGATTCGGGTCAATACACATGCGAAGTGTCCAATGGTATCGGCATTTCAGATACTGCCAGTGCTTACCTTAGCGTTGAATGTAAGTCCGATTTGACGATTATTTGTATTGAAATTAATCTTTTTATTTTGATCACAGATCCCGCTCGAGTCACTTACTCGCCGACCATTCAATATCTACCGCACGGACTATCGGGAATCGTCCGGTGTTTTATTCAGGCTATGCCTCCATTTCAGTTCATAACGTGGACTAAAGATCGGCGGCCATTTGATCCGAATGCCACACCCGGTGTGGTCACACTCAACAACGGGTCACTACTATTTCAACGGGTCAGTCACGAACATCAGGGCCGATACCGGTGTACACCATATAATCTTCACGGAACTGCCGGCACATCTAATGCTATGGAAGTGTTAGTTAGAGGTAATAAGTTTTATATAAATTTATCACTTTTAACGACATATTTATAGGCTATTTAAGGTAATAAAACTTAGGCCGTAATACCATTGAATTAAAACAAACTTTCATTTATAAGATCTTTTATTTCCTGATTTTGATATCGATTTTAATCTATCAGTCAAACAGTAGTTTAATGTCATTTAATGACCGAAAGTTATCGTTTCCCTTATAACTGTATTTTTTTCACTTTTAATGTCAGTATTTATAAAATATTTGATATTTTAATCGGTAGCTTATGATGCTATGCACTCATTTCAATGGTTTTACTACAAACCATAAAGGAAATGACAGATCAACTTATCATTTATTATAAATGTTTAAACAAATATTAAGACTTTTATAATAATTTTATTTTTAATAACTCTTTAAGTGATTTGTTATTACAATTATTGTTGTAACAAAACAATAACCACACAATCGATTATTTTTATGATTGATTGTTAGGTTATTGCATTGATTTTGTTGTTATAATTGAATAAAACATATGTTGTTTCAGAGCCGCCAAAGTTTACGATAAGACCTAACGATATGTACCAGAGATCGGTCAACAGTGAAGTTGTTATGCCGTGCGATGGCGTCGGACAGCCTAAGCCTAACATCATTTGGCGTAAAGTAAGTTAATATCTTTCTTTCTTTCTCACCAAAGGGTCAGATCCAGAGAGAGAGAGAGAGAGAGAGAGAGAGAGAGAGAGAGAGAGAGAGAGAGAGAGAGAGAGAGAGAGAGGTATGATAAAATGCCAGTGCTTATTATCCATTGTTCATCATTGGTACCGTTTGTGTGTATAATTTTGTTGTCCTAGTAATCCATTCATCACTTATTAATCAGCTTTTGTTGTGTTAGTCTATTAGGTTTTATGTGTTTACTCCCTGTCCTCATCACTATCAATGTTATTCCTACAGTATATATATAGAGATAATATTTTATACTATGTTCAGCAAACTAGTGGTGCTTTTGTTATTTAGTTTGTAAACATTTGTTATAATCATATCAAATAACGTGTGAATATAATTTTAGGACATTTATATTTTTTTCTTTTGACAGTTAAAAATAAAATTAAATAATTAACATATTTTTTATTTAAAAAATGGATTAGTTTTTTTACTAAGTTATCTTAGTTTAGGAAATTTTATTTTAATTTTAAACTTAGTTTTATTGATCACTGGATTTGTTTCATTCAATAATTATAATACCGACTGAAATGCTAAAGTGTTGTTATAAATAATTTAGTTAAGCGTTAAATAATTGAATGATTGCTTTTCTATCTATTTTATCATATGTGATATAAAACTAACAAAAATAGCAACAATATCATCATTAACAACACTATTACTGTTTGATAGGCTGATGGAAACAAATTACCAAAGGACAGGGCGTTTATAAGGTCTGGCAATTTGACGATCAAATCGATCAAAAAGGAAGACCACGGGATCTATGAGTGTATACTCGAGAATGAGATCGCGATTCTCATTGCAACGACTCTATTATTAGTCAATAGTATGTTATTTCAATATAATAATGTTGTCATAAAAAATCATTATTTTTAACAACTAATTTGTGATCAATCGATAGACACTACTCCACATCCGCCACAAAATGTTTCCGTCAATACCAGTGCTTTTGCAGCTACTGTTCAATGGATACCCAATTATAATGGAGGTTATGAACAAACCTATCATCTCAGGTATGAAATTGTTGAACACATTTGTTGAAAATTATAATAATTGACATTATATTAGGTACCGATTGTCCGACAGCAGTGACTCCGACTGGAAGACAATACGAGTTCCTCCGCCAGAATCGTTGACTGCATTTACTTTATATAACTTGCAATCAGACGCCGAGTATGACTTCCAAGTGTTTGCTTCAAATCGCTTGGGAGTTGGGATGACGTCACCAATAGTCAGAACCAGAACTAAGAGTATGTTATTTCAATAGTTTATATTAAACATAAAAATATTCTGTAGTTATTTTCAACATATAATGATATTTTTATTAGTTTAAGTAATTTTATTATTTTTGTTATAATATAGTGTGGGACTTACAAAAAACTATTTATCCAACCGATGCTTACGGGGCTACATATATACCAACAGTTCAAAAACCATCAGGTATTGTCAAAGTTTTATATTTTAACAAAACTAATACACCAAACAAACGCACGGCAACACTATATTGCTTTTAATATAATAAATTATATAAATATAACAATTGCTTGTTAAATGCATGTGAGCTATAAATACAATTGCTTTTTGCAAACCATTTGATAAATCAGTTATAAATCCCATGTGTGATCATATTTATAGTTATATTTTTTCAAATCTGGTGTTTCAATATTTTTTGTTTATATAAGTTTATAAATAGATATAAACTATTTATATATATATATATATTTGATCAGTTATTTTTCAAATTTGATAAAATAATGTATAAATAATAACATTTTATTTATATCTTATTAATTAGAAATTAGCATTTAAGAGATTTGTTTTTAAAAGCATAGTCAAAATATTTAATAATTTAGTTGTAAATTAATGAGTCAATCAAAGCATAGATAGTAGAAGAAAAATAGGATTATAATATGTAGAGATAAAATGTAAATTTTTATGTAAATTTAATTTTGAAAGATGATTATAAATAATGAATAGCAATATATTTTTATTATACAATTTACTATATATTATAAACGGATTTTATGGTAAAATTTAAGACACATTTAATAAATATCAAACTTAATTCCTTACAAAATTTTAGATAGTAGTAACATTGTAGATAGCAAATTATTTTTATATGAATATATTTTTTTATAAAATATTTCTATAATAACTACTGTATAATAAGTATATTATAATAAAAAATATTTATATTATATTTGCAGAATAAGTCGATTTAATGAATAATCTCTGTTTATATAAGCAAAAAATAAAGTAAAAAATAAAGAAAGAGATTTTTGAACATTAAGTTAACACAAAAGTAGTTTTCAGTGAAGGAGTGGAAAATAAAAGAAGGAAAGGAAAGGATATTTTGTTGAGTGAATTGTTAGACATAAGGAAAAAAGTTAATAAGATTTTGATAAAGTTGCCAACAATGCACTGTTATGTGTAAGTGTTGGGGCCATTAATATGCATTGATGCACAAAATTTCCTTAATTGAATCGCTACTCATAAATACAGTTTTTTATATATGTGTTGTATATGCCTAACATCCCTATGAGTTAAGCGCCTGTTCTTTTAAGGGTTAGGTTAGGTTTGCACTATTTTTTCTACAATTTTTATTGTATTTCCAAATCCTTTCAGTTATTGTATTGATATATACCGTATATATGAGGTCTGAGCCAATCTATTCTCTGTTTTGTTATTATGTGTTTTTAAGAGACTGTTGAGTGAAGAAATTTTTTATGCATTTTTAAGAATGTTTTCAAAGAATAAATACTGTATAAAGAATTGTTTAGTATATATATATATATATATACATAAAGTCTATTAGTTTAGTGTTATTTAAAGATACTTCTAGTTATGCATGAATTAGCCGTTCAAATGCTCCAAAGGACTGACACTTCACTCAATTGAAAATGAATAACAAAATTAGTTACAATTTTTTGTGTATTTCGCTTATTTCATACACATTTAGTGGAATTATTTCATACAAACATTGATTTTATATATACTGTATTATTCATACATATTGTATACTGTAATTCACAGAATATTTTTAAGAAATAAAGAATAGTATTACTAGTATTTCCACTTTGCTGGGCATGTGTTATGTATTATTGTATTTTTTCTAAAGTAGTTTTATGTGTGAAGTTTTTTGCTGTAGATATAGTTAATAAAATATCATTGCTTTACCACTACATGAGATCCCTGTGCTCCCGGTTCGCTTCCCGGGTTTTTTTTCTACGGACGGTTAACATAAATGCAATTAGTATTAGATTGTTTTCCTGGTTTAGATTTGTTAAGTCATTGCATGGCATATAAAAGATAGATAGTGTTTGTTAATGCATGTGTGCTGAGGGTATTGGGATTGTGTATGTCTGGGATAGATGTGCTATTGTGCCGACCAAACCACAACACACAAACAAATGCCTGCTATAATTAGGTTCCACTGATGATCCAACATCATCATCGGCCACAACCCCTGTAGGACCTAAACCGGGAGCGCCCAGGAATGTGTCGATTGAGAAGATGGCTCAGGGATGGGTCATATCGTGGTTATCACCGGTCGACAAGTCTGTGGCAGTGGCCTACTATCGCATCGAGTTTAAGGAGAACGACAAGAGATGGCAATATAGCGAACCCATCGCTAAGGATAACGCTTTTTTAAGTATATTTTTAAATTATTTTACAATTAAATCAAATTAATTATTTTTATATAAAAATATAGTTAAAAATCTCGATTCTGGCACTAAATATACTTTCCGTGTGTGGGCTTACTCTATATTAGGCAATGGAGAAGTCAGCGATCCATTTGATTACAAAATTTCCGGTACTTATTGCTAATCTATAGATAAATAACTATTTATTGAATTGTTAAGAATTTTTATTTTATTGTAAATTTTATATTATTAATATAAAGGGCCAGCCGATGGCATTAAGGGTGCTCGAGCTATAACTGCCGGCATAGTGGGCTCCGTCCTATTTTTTGTAACAGCAATTGTATTGTCCGTCTGTATCGTCAAAATTTGTAATAAAAGAAAGAGAAGAAAAATGGAAAAAGGTTTTTATTATTATATTTATTTATTTAAGTATTAATTTTTGAATTTTATAGCATATATGATGGTTACCTGTCCGGTAATGGACGGTATCAATGGTGGACATCATACTCACGGTGATAGCCCAGTGCCTTTAAAACAGTAAGTATGGGTTGTCTCAGTCCTGTATCGGATTTATGGATAGCTTACAGCAAATATCAAATAATATTAAAAAAAAGATTTTCAATTAAATTTACACAAAATATCTTTTAAAATACAATAAATATTTTTTATATATCTATTTGTCTTTTTATATAACAATCAATGATATCTTATTCCTTATTTTTTCTTCATTTTTGCTTCATTTGGCTTTCTTTCACATCGAGGACTAAATTAGGAGGTGATTGAAGTTATTGATGGCATAACAGAGCGCAATGCAATGGTTATGCCATCACTTTGCATGCAATTTCCTCATTAGCTGTTATGATGAGTTGAGCCATCACTTTAGGCATCCCTTTCCTAACAGTTATCAACTAAATCTTAACTCTATTTTCTCTCTCTTTTATCATGACTTATGTCTCACTATATTTCATCAAATTATGATTTTATCATTGGTCTGGTGTTTTGGTCTCTAATTTCTCTACTTATACTACTTGTTCAACCACTACAGCACAGGACGATATAATATGTAGTTTAGGTACTCCGGGAAGCCTTCTCGGTAAGAGCTGGTGTTTCACTACATAACATTCCTATCGCACTAAAAACACTATATATTTATTATTATATGAATGATTTGCATGTTATTAGGCCTCAATTGATTCAAACCGTTTGCTTCTCACACTAAACACTCAATTCACTCTAACTTTTCTATTAATATTTGACTAACAGTTGCCTAAAATAAACAAATTTCTATTAATATTAAAACTTAAGTTTAGGGCCTTTTATATTAAATTTTCAATAAATTTCGCATTTAATAAAATCTACAATTTATATAAAACAAATGTTAATCAAATTGACTTTTCATTTGATAAAATTAATTTTAATACTTTAGATTATTTTTCTGTTTAATTTTCAATTGATTGTTGAAATTATAAGGAACAGTAGTTTCATAGTGTTTTACTATTACTATAATTAGATAGAAAAATAACAATTTTGCTGACAGATTGACAGTCTAGTTGACAGCATTTCAAACTCCAGAATATTATCAGCACTGGTAGTACATTATAACCCCTTTTTCTGATTCACAATGTGTACAGTTATCCCGATCACTATAATTATAAACCATTGCACCCCTTATTAACTAACACTGACTTTCCTTTTTTTAATTTGAATAAAAACATGACATGAAATGACAGTGAAATGATAATATAGTAATGTTTATAACAGTCGATCCCATTCATGACCTCCGATATTGGCATTAGAGCTATGAATTGAGTGTTATATGAATAGGTTGTGTCTGAAAATGAAAATTATTATTACAGACGTGCGAAAAGAGGAATATCAGGTTTAATACATGTATTGATTAGAAGTCTTTTGCAAAGATTCGGTGCACAACACTATTGCCGACGACCAACTGAGCCCAGACATGTGGCCGGACGTGATAGTTCACCCCTTGGAGTTCCAACAATTGAAACGATTGGATCCAATTGGAGAGATAACGTCATACAGGTCTCACCCCCTGCGCGACGAAGAGCTATGAAAAATGTTAGATATAATGTCGAAATGGAGTACTCGAGACCACTCGGTTGGATCAGTAGGACATCTGACGGCAAATTTGTAGTCAAAGGACAGCCTATTCTTATGAAAAATATTGGTTACAATACCGATGAACAGTTACACGCCTACGACTTGACCCCCTCTAATCAGGCCAGTGTTAGGGGAAGTTTCCGGAGTGATGGAAGTGGACAAAGTGGTCCCAATCATACAAATGTGTTTCCATTACATAGACATCACTCACAGTTTAGTCGCTCATCAACGCACTCATCCCTTCCCTCCCGTTCCCAACGAAATCAATCGTTTAGTCCTCAGTCATACTCATTCCGTTCGGGATATAATATATCACAAGTATTCAGACCACGTGATCCCCGATTCAGGACCAGTTCTCCGGGACCGGGATTACCGCCCGACTCGCTCAGTATGGAACAAGAACTGAGTTCCGTTCGCCAAACATCTTCATCATTTGAACGCTCGTCACAAATACCGATGATTTCCTCGCCATCATTGCGGTCACAACTACAAGAACTACCAGCGCTGAGACCAATACACGAACATTTGCATCGACATAACAATCACTCAATGTCTCAATTACGGGCAACAGTTCCTATATCACGTCAGCCAAACATTAGAGCCATAAATCGCGGACCACTTCTTTTGGAGACAGTTCCCGAAGCCATTTACGATGCCGTCCACATTACACCCAAATATGACTCACCTTCTGCTAGAAGGGGTGACCTTTGGACCGACGGACGGCACTTACACATCCCACAGCCTATTAATCAAAGTACAAATAATATTCAATTGCTTAGAGGTTTGTTATTATCTCTATAATTGCAAACAAATTATATAATGTTAACTTAAAATATTTTTCAGACGTTCCTACCATATCTGCCCGTGCGATGTCCAGACCATATCAAAACGTGCCGTTTCCGAGACATCTCATTGAAGAGTCAGTGCCTCAGTATAAGACCCAACAATCACTCGATGATCCGATTGATGAAATGCGTTTTATAGCACCTCCTAAAATGGTATTTAAAAAACCCAGAGCACCACCGCCTCCACCCTCATTAAGCCAACAGAAGACTATAGATTTGAAGAGTGATTTTAATACAACTGTTAGCAGTGACTCATCTAATGACCAGCCCTTTCAATATACTCGGGACAAGTTATTGGGTGCCGTTGAAAAAGTCAGGAGTGGTATGTTACTAACTCGCGCTTCTCCATTTAGACATGAAGGTATGGTTGTCATCAACACATGTTGTTTACAGTATATTAGACGTAGTGTTAATTTATTTCTTTATACATTAGGTTCGCAAACTCCGACATCAGTTCAAACACCATCGCAGACACCTATTGATAGGCGACTGTTAGAAATGCCGGAACCTTTACTCCGACCTCGACGTCCCACTCCTGTCAAGTTTGCTGACGATAACAATGTGTTTATTGATGATCATCATAATCAACCCACATATCGTTCATCACATCCGCAACCTCCCAGTCGGGCTAGCCTTACGAGTCAATCTTCTGGTAGAGGCAGTGCTGGTCAGGACGGGTCGGGAAAAACTACTTTAGTTTCCAACTCAAGAGGCAATTCATTCCAAAACTCACCGCAAAGTGAACTCCAATCCGTGTCCAATATTGATAAGACAGCGAGCAGTAGCTCTGGTATTGCCAGTCAAACCATGTCATCACAACTGCATTCATCCACATCTCCCGGTCAGAGTTCGGGTATTTCCGCCACATCTACGTCTGCAACTCCTAATCGATACGTCAAAGAAGTGCAATCAATCAAACAGTCATTCTTACCGAAATCCATAGCATATCAAAGTCGACCAACAGTTGAATCGCCGCAATCGGAACCAATATTTCCTTCTTATGCACCACCGATGGAACCTTTGGACGTATCTGTCGATGAAAATTATGAGTTTGACTCTATATCTCCCTTAGAGGCCGAACTGATCGAAAAATTGCGTCGAGAACAGCAACGATGGAGTCAATGGCAACAACAACAACAATATCATTATCAACCACAACATTATCAACAACAACAACAACAGAGCATTAGAGGACCATTCAGTGATTCAGAAGTGTATAGTACTGTTCCCATTAGACGTCGATATGAAGATACGGACGCCCGCTGTGCGGCTCTGAAGGAAGAGTTTTTTAGATTTAGAAGAAGACAACAACTCTTACAACAACAACAGCAACGACACCGACCATCACATGAGGAACTGAGTTCTTCAGATGAGTTTGAGAGCGCCTGTTAGCCAACCAACTGATCAACCAATTGGTTATTACTACTCCATATATTTTGTTATATTATTGTATATATAAATATCTATATATTTATTATTAGTAAATATTTATTGATTTTTACAAAAATCACTGCCAATTAGTGACATTTATATCCATTTAATTTTTATACAATTAAATGGTGACAACATTTTTTAGTGATAGACAATTATATGAAAGATTTATAAGCCATTTATAAAAATAAAAATTAGTTTATTAATGGGGAGTTTAATAATAATTAAATTATTTGTTGTTTATTATTTTCTATAATTAATTTGGCAATTTATTTGTTTTTATACATACCATGTAAATATATTTATGTAGTATTTAATATAATATTTATTATTAACAAAAGAAAAATCTATAAATATTAAAATAATAAGAAATTAAAAAAATGTAATATTTAACTAATAATCTAATTAATTACGAAAAAATATCATGAAATAAATTTAAGGAATTAGTGTTAGAGAGAATAAAAAAGCACATAAAATGTATAAATTAAATGATTTTGTGCCAAAAATATAGGATATAAAGAAAAGTTCAAATTAATGATTGAAAATACAAAATCTTTATAAAATAATTAATTTTTTTTTAATTTTTACTATTAAGTATAATTCTTTAAAATTATTTGTTATTTATTAATATTAACAAATCTAATAAATACATAAAGGATCTCTTTTTATTATAAATACATATAAACTAATTTGATTTAAAAGAAATTTTCATAATTATGTTTAAATTGCTGATTTTAATAATTTATTTACAATATTAATTTCTAAGTTAGTATAAATTTTGTTTTTTTTCAATTATAATAATTAGCAAAATTTTTAATTAGTTTAAATTATAATTATTTGTTATGGTTTAAGCAAATAAAAATTATGATAATAATCAATAGATATGTTAAATTGTAATAATTATAAATTTGATTAATATAAAATATGTAAAAAAAAACATTAATTGTTTGATACTTTGCTCATAAAAAACTTTATAAGATTATATTAATAGTTATAAAAATAGATAAGAAAAACTTTAAATTGAAAACAATATATCTTAATATATTTATTTGAAAACAAAACACAATTTTATGACATATTGACAAAATGTTTTAACAATATAAAAAATTACATTATTTATAATTGTGAAAAACTTTATAAGATATATTTATAGTTTATATTTATATTTGTAAAAACAAAATGGAAAAATGTTATAATAATTATTAATATATTGCGATAATTATTAAATTTTATTCTGTGATAATAAATAATATTTCATTTGACATATTATTTGTAAATTTTTTAATGGTTAACAATTGGAAACATTAGTACAATGTGTTTCATAGCTATATATTCACTGTTTTTTATTAATAAAATTAAAACTACTTAATATATATCAATGAAATTTATAACTAATGATAAATAAGATAATATCATTACTTTTGTGATGCGATACTAAATAAGTATCGCACAAAAAATACCGTTTCATAGCTATAGAATTAGCTATAGAAACAATGTTAAAATTTCCCTATACTTTATATATTATAATTTTATAATAATTAAAATTGCGAGTGCATTATGATAAATGGTCAGGGATGTGATTAGTGTTGGCAAAAAAGAGAAATTTATGAAATAATAGAGAAATTTCTATCTATGGGATCCCCGTGTTAATTTTGATCTCTACATATTTGTTATCTTGTAACAATACATTGTTTTTATATGTAATAATTAAAAATTATTAATAGTATTTTAATTAGTGTTAAGTAAATAAATAATTAATTTAATTATATTAAACTATGATATATAAAATAAAATGAGTCAAATTTTACAAAACTGATTATTATTAAATAATTATTTTATATATAGGTATCCTATTTAGTAGTCTACTATATAGTATAATATTATATGTAGAGTATTATGTCTCATTAATACAATAGTACATTATTACAATAGCTTTAGATATGGGGATCCCATAGTATACACAATAAAGTTAAATTTCTATAGAAATTTATTCCTGAGAAACTTTATAGAAACTTTCTCAGTGAAATTTATTAGAAACTTTCTATTTGCCCATCTCTAAATGTGATCATTTTGAAGATAATAAAACTATATATCACATCACATATTTTGCTTTGCTTAATAAAAAATAACTTTTTTGTTACTTTTCTAAATTTTATAGATAAAATATAATTTAAGATATAGTAAAAATACCTGTAAAAATTGATATTACCAATTAAACAGTTGGTTAACAAATATATATAATGTATTTATTATAATATAATCGACAAATGTTTACATTAAATATTGATCAAATAGTTGTTAAAATGTTGCGAAATTTAAAATCCAATTTTCTTATCTATGTTTATCTGCACTAACACTATACCGATAAATATCTAAAGTAACTTTAAAAATGATTTATTAAGTAATTAGTATTAATCATGTTTTTGCTCAAACAGTTTAGTGTATAATTAATTTATAAGAAACATATTGTATATTATGTTAAATAAGGATGAATTGTATGAAATCATTTCTTACGGTCGGTTGAGAAAACCGGCAAATAATATAATACCAGTGCTCTTATGTCTGACAATAAACATAAACGGACGGTCAGCACGAAATGTCGGCACATTTCTGTAACGACCAAATAAGCCTCTATTGCTGTTTCCGGTGACAGTGTTGACCACTGTATGATTCATGCCGTCTTCAGTCACCTCAATGATGACTTTATGATAGATCTCTGAAATGTGTAAATAATTGGTTCCGTCGATACCGGACAGGTCTGACTTATACGTGAATATATTATTCAAACCGAGCGCCTGAAGTGTACTTTTCAGTGTATATGATGTCCTAATGTGAAACTTAGGTAATACAAGTCTAACAGTGCTTTCAGTCATATTATCTAATGCTTCGTCAAACAGTTTGTCTGTCAGCCGATCACTTAATCTCTTTAAGCCTAGAGTACGGTTAGGCAACAGGACATACATGTATAGGTCAGTGTCGGGACTGTAGGGCAGTTCAATAAGTTGGCAGTTGTCGAGTGATTGCAATGTCGTGTAATTAAAAGTATTGGAGAGTTTCATCAGAGGTTTTTTGATGGCTTTATTTGAATAATAAAAGTCTTCCTCTTTTGTGCTCCATTTCAGAAACTGTTGCCTCCATATGCCCTGAAGCCAGTGGTGGCCAATCATGTGGTCGTTTCAAATTAAAACCAACTTTAAAAATCTCGCTTTAAAATTGTATTTTGCTATTTATCAAACTTATAGTCTCTCTCTCTCTCTCTCTCTCTCTCTCTCTCTCTCTCTCTCTTTCTCCCATTTAATGTTTTACTGTTATATAAAAATCATTAAATTTCAATGCATACCACGAAACAAATTCTACTTTTTAAATGATAAATGATTTTAAGTATAGATAACTAACATTTTGGTATTGCTTTTATGTTATTATACATAAATTATTTCTGATTTTACTAAATTTTTTATTATTATATATCTCTTAATATTATATGAGTAAACATATAGTTTTATCTGTGTTTGGGTTTTGGAAATTTTGTTACACTTTTTTCAAACCATATAACAACTCTAAAGTGTAAATCATATGTTAGGGTTAGTAGTATAAGGGAAATAAAAACTTTTTTTGTGGTAATCATTGAAAGATTTATTTTAATGACTTTTGAGGCAGAGATAGATATTTATGAATACTGTATATATTAAAAGTAAACTCACTTTAAAGTAGGCAGCATTGAGAAGGACCAACACATTTAATGGACTCAACTTGTCGTCCAACAACTTATCTACCTTTCCTTTAGTCATATTAAACACCCAGTCGTTTATGGATTGCATTGCTTCGTCACTTTTGAATAGGAAGTCAACTGTTTGTAGTTTAGAGTTATAGTAATACAGTAATTGTTTTTTATAATCTTCTAGTATTGGGTTTCGGATTTGAGCGAAGAGACCGTTTGCCAAAACCAAATGGTTATCACCCGATATATCGGCCAAATGTCCATAAAATAGACGAAACTTTTGATTCAAATCATTACTAATATTATGATTTTGCAAATTCAAGAGATCTTCCAATTCTGTGGCCGTTTTATCTTTTGCTGCCATATATATCATACTTAATGTTGTTGTTATCGCACCGGTAGATATCAATACATTTTCATTATCATTATAAAGTTGTCGCAATAAGTTAAACGTTAAATAATTATTTGCTTTTGATATACTTTGTTTTGTTTTACATATTTTTAAATTTATTAACAATAATATTAATAACATACAATAACTATTTTTCAAACCATTTATCACTGTATTATATAAATTAACGTTAACTGTCATTTTTACATTAAATTCAATTCAATTCAATTCAATTCAATTTTATTTTGACAGCACTGTATTCAGTTATGCAACTGGTATTCTTACAGTATTATCTCAAATTAAAAGTTTTATAGAAATTTTTACATTAACTAGAAATTATATATTTATTAAAAATATATAATCTGCAAAATATGGGTACGGTTTTTACTTTATTAGCACAGATACAGATATATACAATACTGTATAATATGTTTGACACTTATATAAATGCTAGTGTTTTTTTACTTTAATGTATATTATTTAGTTTATAACACATTTTTAGTGTAATTTCTTTATTAAATTCATTGCCAAAAATTATTTTCATTTGAAGGCAATATGAAACAATAATTTGTTATGTATTGTATGATAATTTAGTGGTGGGCCTTGAGGTTATAACCAACAAGTGGTCATCAATATAGCACTTATTGTAATTTTTACTTTTGTTTTTTAATATTAATTTATGCAGACTCTGTAAACTTAATAAAACCTTTAACATAACAAATAATGTATTATTGATAATATTGTAGTATAGGTTCATTAAACAAAAATCATGACTTTATTATATTTTTTTGGGAAAAAACAATTTTATAATTAATTTTCAAACTCAGTGTAACTTTTATTTATAACTAATGTTAGTTCCATATATCAGTTATTATTAATAATAATTATATACATTGCTAATATTAAATGAAAATTAATTTATAATAATATTAATAACAAATAACTAGTAGTCAAACAATTAATTATTAGTAAATTTAAAGTGATTTATAGCACAAGAGATATGTATGGATGAGTAAGCAATGCATTTAAATACATATATAATTAACTCAATGTTTATTTTGTTCAGATATTCATAAAAAATTAAATTAAATTTTTGTTTTATTACCATTTGGTTAAAACATAATGTTTTGGTTTTAATATATAATCATTTTAACAATATTACAACATTAAAAAAATACTTTTATTTTTTTTATTTTTGAGCAATTTATCAAAAAATTTTATAAAATACATAGAGTTATAATTAATATTATTATATATATATATATATATATATTTAAATTTATCATTTAATAATAATAATAATGAAAATTTTCAACTTTATAAAATTTAATAATATTTGTAATTTTATATATACATTATATTAACGGTATAATATAAATTCATTTATTAAATATATAGTGTAAGTAAATATATTTTGTTTATAATATATAGTAATATATATTTTTAATATAATATAAATATTTACCTAACAATCTGATAAGCATTTTAATAACATTGAAATACAGTTTGTAATGACTAAAATATATTTTATATAACATATATATTTTTATATGCAATAATTGAGATTTGATTTGATATGAGATTATAATTATATAATAAAACAAGTATTAAGTCAATTGCTTCACTTGTTTTTGTTTGTTTCGATAAAACCAATGTTAAGATTTTACTCAATTAAAAAATATTGAATCAGACTAAACAAGTTTAATCTCAACTAATAGCCGACTGATCCGGATTATAGTAATCCATGGATTCACTAAATATATAAGTGAGTGGATTAACGTCATGAATACCATTCGGTGGACACCATTCATGATGACTGACTATAGTCTGGTGATGATTATCGCCGTAATGATTGAATGATGAATTACACGACTCATTGGATGACGTGGACGCCGATGACAGTGTTGAAGACGGGGTTATATTGCGATCGATGGCCTCCACTTTGACCAATGGCGGCGACTCGCCTGACATTGACGACAGCTCTATTGATGACAAATCCAAACTCTCTCTAGTATTAAGAGACTCGTCATTAGGTGTCGGCATTGCATCCTTTTCACGACGTTTTCGGGTCCGAATCACATCCCGTCTCATTGAAACCGGTCTATAGTTTAATATAATAGACTTTTAATGATTTATTCAGTACTCAACAAACTTATTATAGTTTGCTGTTTAATAGGGATGTCGTTGTTTATATCTTATGATAGATTTGATTGATTGCTTATTAATTTATTTCCAATTTTATTGCATAACATATTAAAATCATTATTTTTCCCCTCATTAAAATTTCTTACAAATGCCATTTAAGATAATATAATTATATATAATTGTGATAATTATAAAATGTGAATTAAAATGAATAGAAAATCATCACTTAATATATATTTATATTTATCTGTTATTGAATTATTTAATATATAAAAAATTAAATTTTATTACCTTTCACTTACATATAAATAAAATCTTAAACTTGAAGTTATAATCTCCAAGAAATTGAATAAATTTGGATTAATTTTTAAAACGTTAAATTAAATTTTTAATAATAATTGGGAAAATGTATTAAATAATTTTTAATTAATAATATTAAGCATAAATGATAAGTTATCCGATTAGTGGTAATTAAAAATAAAACTAAATAAATTTACTATATAATAAATTACACTAATTGAATACAATATATGGTATTTAAATTTAATACATTTTGTTAAAATTATTTATAAAAAAATCTAAAAAAATAAAAGTTAATTATTAAGTAAAAAGCTAATAAAAAGTACTATTAGTAAATTAATCATTTGCAATGTTAAACAAACTAATTAAAAAAATAGTTTTTAAATATACAAATTTGAGCGCTTATGCCATAAACTCATATTAAAGTGTTTACAATAATTGATTGAAATATAAACACAAATTAAGACAAACTCTATGGTTTAAGTTTACAATTTATAATTATTTTAAATACAATTTATGCTAATTTAATGATTGATTACCTGTTGAAACCATTGATGCGAAAGAAGAGACCGCACGCGTTGCACACGTGAACGCCTCCCGCGTCCCTCCGCCACATCGTTGTCTTATTTGTGCCACAATTAGCGCAATGAAGAAAACTTTTTCTTAGAGTTGAGACACGAGATATTTTGCTGACATGTGGTCTGTGGTCTCCGTTTACCCGATAGTATAGACCACAAGCGTTACCTGATTTAGCAAAATGTATGCAAAAATAATTAATAAACCAAAAATTCAATTTTAATTATAGTATTTGTGTTCACAAATGTTTGGACAGGGCTTACATAGGAAGTGACACGACCCGTATTTGCGCCATAAGGGAGTACTGGTTGTCCCACAATTGCTACACTGCCTATCACTTCCACTATTGGTTTCACTTTTAATGTTAATATTCATTATTATTATCAATATTATTATATTGATGTCTAAACGGCAATATTTGTTGCTATTTATTATTACAGAATTTTAAAAAACTGTTGAAAAATAACTAATAAAAATTAATTTAATTTAAATTTTAAATATATTCATTTGTAATTTGTCAGTAGTAATCATATTTTTTGTGATCAGTTTAAATGAATTTTTAAAAATTAATTAAAATAATCACAAGTTGCATGAAATTTATTATTTAAACTGAAAATAATATAATTTAAACATAATATATATTTATTTATTTATAAAGAACCATATTTTATCAAAACTTTTAAATTATATGATATTTGAATATCATTTTGAGCCAAAATATTAATGTAATTGAATTAATTTTAATAAAAATAATTATCACTATATATATATATATTTCAATATAATTTAAATAGATATTATTATTATATTATTACAAAAAAAAAATTTAGAGCACAAAATCTTTTAACAAAATAGAATTTAAATAATTTTAAATTAAATATTAAAATATATAATTTATATAAACATATTACTTTACATTATAATTAATAAAACATTTATATAAAATAAAATCATTTTGTGTTACATAACTAATGACTTTCAGCTGTGATATAATGTTTTCAAATAAATGTTTTGAGACAAACTTTTTTCTTTGAGAAAACACTCTTTCAATAGGATGGGGGACTGGTATGTCATAAATGCACATATCATATACGGCACATATTTAACAGTTAGTTTTTACGTAACTGATTACAAAATTATTATGTATTAGCCATTACTTAAATTAAGACTAAACTGTAAGAGTAAGTCCAATCAGTAGCAGTGCTGTTGTAACAGTGTTTGGCTTTTCGTTATGTCAAACCCATTGGTGTTTCTCTCTCTCTCTCTCTCTCTCTCTCTCTCTCTCTCTCTCTCTCTCTCTCTCTCTCTCTCTCTCTCTCTCTCTCTCTCTCTCTCTCTCTCTCTAAACACAAGAAAACAGGTTGAGATCCGAGACACGAAATAATGACAATAATACAAGAATTGTTGTGCTCTGGTATTACCTAATATACAGAGTATATATATATATATATATATAAATTTGTTTATAACTCGTGAAAATGGTTAATAAATATGGAGTAAACTAATGTAAATGCATTGATCATTGAATATGAACTGATTAGCGCTGCTCTCAGGCCATGTCACTAGCAATACGAGTGCATAATGTGTGCGGGAATCTCATTAAACTGTGACCCGCGGTGTGTATGGTATGTATGAGCGCCGATACTCCCAACTCATGAGTAGTGTTTGGCCCGCAAGACAAGTGAACCAATGCGTGAAGCACTCAATAATCACTGAAAACTACTTTTTCATGCCTATACCTAATGCCTTATTATATGAGTGCACCCTTTTTACTGGAGGTTTGCAATATCTAAACAGCAGGTAATATTAAGTGCACCGTTTGCACCATTATCTTGATTGACCCGCTGTTTAATACAACTGTGCAATGCCTTTCATATACTGTACAAACAAAACAGTTAAATCATATCATATATGATATTTTTTGTTACAGTAAATACACTTTACACATACCAATAGATTTTATATACTGTTTAGAAATTATTTTTTTTATTATTAAAATAATTTTACACTAAAATCTCTCTCTCTCTCTCTCTCTCTCTCTCTCTCTCTCTCTCTCTCTCTGAAAGTAAGATTTAATATCAAGGATTATACTTAACTATAAAAACTAAGTCTTACTTATAATTTTAGTTTTTATGAGAGTAAAAGATTTGCTAAAATGATGAATTAGATTCGCGTTTTTTGGGACACTATTAATGTTATAGAATAGTGTATAACGTTATAACAGTATTATATGTACATTGATATTAAACATATTTTATTTTTTATATGTAAAATACAGTAAAATTGAAAACTACTTAGATATATATGAATGAGTGAAATGACATAAAAATTAAATTATATTTAAGCAACTTTTTTAAGTAAACTATTAAATATAGTATAACTCAACACATAATTTTGTTTAAAAACTTTTATATGGGGATTATTTTTTAAAACTAAAATTTTAAATAATTACGAGAGAGAGAGAGAGAGAGAGAGAGAGAAAGAAAGAGGGAGAGAGAACTATTAATTATATTTCTTTCTTTTTAATTATAATAAAAAATTTTAATACTAGAAATGTACAATTTTATTATTAATTTTTTTACAAAATATATACAGAGAGAGAGAGAGAGAGAGAGAGAGAGAGAGAGAGAGTGCCCTTAAGTGAAACAAATGTTTGTTTGAAATAAAAACATATATTTACCCCTCCTTTGAAAATTTATTCTTAATTTCCCACTAAAAAAATCATTAAACATATTTGTAAATAATATCTATAATATAATAAAATAAAACTTTATATTGTGTTTTGTGTTTAAAATATATAAATACCATCTAATCCTTAGTGAATTAAATAAAAACAAAATTGTAAGTAATAATTATATTTAATGAATTTTTTTATTGATTTCTGTGTCATACAACCAATCCCTAGACATATGAATCTTGTTTATCGGTATTATTATTATTATTTATCCAATAAAAATACTCTTAATTGTGTGCAATGTATATACAAACAAATTTTTACTTACATACCAACACATTATTATTGGCATTAAATTGCAAATGACATTATTATTAGTAATAGTAATAAATGTTTTACTTTATTATATATCAAAACATTAATTTCAAAAATTGTTTTTAAAGTAAATACCTGAAGATATATTCGATATATTTATAAAATATAATTTTTTTTGTTATAAATATTTAGGTTTCATAAATAGGATAATGAGTTTTGTTTAAACAATAAATATTTGTTAATTATATTGCATTAACATTTAGCTATATAAAGTAGTTTTATAAATTATAAAAACCTATTAATATGAAAATTGGCAATTATTCTTATATCTATTGATATATACATATAGTTATAATATATTTAACAGATAAATATATATTATTGAATATATTTGAATAAAAAGTTAAGAATTTTTGTTTTATTTTTGTTTTAATGATAAAATATTATCATAACTATCGATTTTTATTATGTATAAACGAGTAAATGTTAAAAACAATGTTGTTAAATATTAGATATAGATTATGTTATCAAATTTTCATATATTTTGTTAAAAATATTTATATTATCTATTATTGATACAGTATATTAGCATACAGTTCCATAATAATTATATTTTTTATAATATGATACGGCCAATAGATTTTCATAATAAATATGTCTCTAATCATTACTTTATTATATTGTATATATATATCTGACATATTACAGTTACATTTTTAAAATATATTGTATAGATATCAACCAATATTGCAAAACGTTAAATATATTTTACAATAATTAGTACAGTTTAATAAAGTAATAAAAATTTGAATATTGCTTATCAATCATTATAATTGTTTAACAATTTAAATTTATTGTATATTATTATAGATAAAGGATTTAACACTTAATGCTTTTTAATTCGATAAAACAACAAAACATTTAAACTGTAAAAGTAATTAATATTAATTAATTTATGTATTTATATATAACTTAGATTTATAAATAAACAAATATCATATTAATAAATAGAATAATCTTAAATGATTTAATGACTTTTAAATTTTAGTTTTATGTATAATAAAATAATCTTATTTTTAAAAAGTTTTAGATTAATAAAAAATAAATAAATAAATAATAACAAAAAACAACTTTCACCGGAAAATTAAATTTTTAAATATCAATAAAATTAATGTGATGTCATAAAATTATATACATTACTTACCAATTAATTTTTAATGATTAAATCTCAACATAATATATTATATACAATATATGCATAAAAGGCGTTATTTACAAATTGATATCAATTTATATAAAAAGTATTTTAAATGTTCTTTAATAATATTGTTTCTTAAATTTTATGTAAATTTATACTAAATTGATAAAATTATAATATCTGGAAGTAGGAAATATTCAGTATTTTTTTAAATGATGATAATATTAATTTAAATATTTTTTAGTCAATTTATGGTAATCATGATTAAATATTATACTATTTTCTTATTTTTTGTTTATCTAAATATAGTTTAAACGTATGATTTAATTGCAATATATATATATGCTGTTTCATTAATAAAATAAAATTTTTACATTAGACATATTAGGTTGCTTATGGTTTAAAACTTGAGGCAAATTGACAGCAAATATTAGCATTTAATTAAAATTAGTTTTAAATATATTTATATTTTTCAATTTATAAATTTATAGTATATAGCAGTAATTATAATACGTTAAATTACTTCATGTCTATATGGGCTGCGAAAAATGTAATTTATTTTTTAAAAGAAGCCATATATTAATTTAAAATTAAAAGGGGTGAACCTCAAGCACTGGTAGCCAGACAAGCATTGCACGACTGGGCAAAAATATATTACTTTTTTGGGGTATATTTACGGCATATAAGCCGGACTCAATATTTTCATTAAATAAAACACTGTATATCAAAATAACTGCTATTATCTTCATAAATGATAAATTGCTATACAATTGCCTGCAAACACAAAACGCCTAATCATTATTAATAAAATACTTGATATGATTTTTTATTATTTTTTTCAATATAAAATATGAGTGAATAAATGCTAAGCCGTCCCTAAACTCATGCTTACAGTCATATTATAGAATAATGTTTATAATAAATAATAATAATTAAATATTAGTATATTTATATTATATCGAAATTTTTTTTTGATTATAAGAATTTGTTTAAAAATAACATAAGTTTTGCTATAAAAATAAACTAGTTTTAATTGAATACAAAAAAGTCTAATTAAATAACACAAGCGTTTTGTTTTTAGTGATTTTTATTTGTTTATAACTATACATAAAACTTGTCTAAATTGTGATACAATTATTTGATTACTGGTTTCTCTTTTTATAAACTTATAAGACCTCCCGGTTTGAT